AACCTAGAAAAGGGATATATTTAAACCTTAAAATTACTAGCAGCTAGCCTATTTACCTTTATAAGAAAGAAGAATAGAGAACTACAATCTTATATAGATTATTAAAGGCTTAATATAATAACTATAAAAAACTAATATTTACTACCTAACGCAGCTAAACTAAGAAATAGACTTATAAAAGTAACTATCTTTACCTTACTAGACCTCTAAGATAGCTACTACCTTATACGAATAAAAGAAGGGGAAGAATAGAAGATAGTATTCTAATTAAGATATAGACTCTATAAATATCTAGTTATACCCTTTAGACTTACTAATATACTAGTAATATTTTAAGCACTTATTAATAACGTACTATAAGAACATCTTAACATATTTATTATCACTTACATAAACGACATCCTCGTCTTCTCTAAGTATAATAAGGATTACTAAGAATATGTTAAGGCGGTACTTAGTATATTAGAAGAAGTAAACCTACGCCTAAAACCTAAGAAATGCAAGTTCTATATATAAGAACTTAAGTTCTTAGGCTTTGTTATTAATATATAAGGCATTAAGATAAGCCTAAATAAAATTAAAGCTATATGTATATAGCTATAACTAAAAATAGTAAAATATATCTAAGAGTTTCTAGGATTCTGTAAATTTAATAAACAGTTTATTAAAAAATACGTAGTAGTTACTACACCCCTAATAGAACTTATAAAGAAGAATATACTATTTATATAGAGAAATAAATAAGAAAAGGCCTTTTAACTTCTATAAATAGCATGCATTACACTACTAGTGCTTATTAATTTCTAAAGTAATAAACTATTATAGATTAAGATAGACGCGAGCGACTAAGCCCTTAAAGCCTACGTAAAATAAGAAAGAAATAGAAAATAGCACCTAATAGCTTACTACTTAAGAAAGCTTATAGATACAGAAATATAATATAATATCTATAATAAGAAACTATTTATAATTGTTAAGGCACTTAAATACTAGCGAATCTACGTATATAGCTGTTTTAAGCTTATTATCTTTACTAATTATAAAAACCTTCTAAGATTTATAATAATAAAGGATCTTACGCTAAGATAAGTAAGATAGTCTAAAGTACTTAGATAGTATAAGTTTAGAATTATATATACACCTAGAAAAGAAAACGGACGCGCTAATATACTAAGCTAATAAAGCAACTTAGCTAAAGATAAAATAGTTACACGCGCTGCTATCTTAGTAAAAAATAAAGATAAGTTACTTAGCCTATTATAAGAACTTAATATACTCCTTATAATAGAATAAAAAGTACCTAAAGAGTAATAAGAATAGGTTATTAAATAATACTATAATAACCTAATGTACAGGCACCCTAGCATTATAAGAACTATAAAACTTATTTAGCGTAACTACTAATTTAAGGGAATAAAGTAAAAGGTTATAAACTATATTTAGAAATACGCAAACTACTAAAAGAATAAACATAGTACTTATACACTATATAGAGAGATGTAAGCTATCTAGATTCTAAAAGAACCCTAGACTAATATCTCTATAGACTTTATTACTAGCCTACTAAACTTTAAGAACTTAGTAACTAATACGTCCTATAACGTAATACTAGTAATTATTAACTAATTTACTAAGTATATAGAGATAATTCTATTCTATAATACCTATATAGTAAGATAACTTAGATTTATAATCCTAGACTAACTAGTTAGGCATTATAGAATACTAAGGATAATTATTAGTAATTAAGATAAGCTATTTATATCTAACTATTAGATAACACTAATAGCACTTATTAGAATAAAATAAAAACTATTAACGGCCTATTATCTATAAATAGATAGATAAATAGAATAAATAAACAGAACTATAAAAACCTACCTAAAGATATATAGTAATAAACTATAAAATAATTAGATATTACTGCTACTAATAGCCTAACTAGTATATAATAATAAGAAATTAGAAGTAATAGGACAAATACTATTCTATACAAACTATAGAAGATATCTATATCTCTTTAAAAGAACTCTACTAATAAAAGTATAAACTAAAATAGTAGCTAATAACGCTAGAGACATATATAAAGCATATAAAGAAATAAAGAAAAATATATAAAAAGTATAATAAAAAAGTATTAAATATAATAACTAAAAACGAAAAATAGCACCTTAGCTAAAGAAGGGGGATAGAGTATATCTGCTTATAAAAAATCTTTGTATAATATAGTTAAGTAAAGGATTAGACTACGTAAAAGTTAAACTATTTTTAGTTCTTAAATAAATTAGTCTAGTAAACTATAAACTTTAACTTCTAAGTAATATAAAGGTTTACTTAGTATTTTATATATCTACTCTAGAACTAGTAGACTTATAGATACTACTATAAATAATATTCTACTACTAAAAGAATAAAGATAATAAGTATAAAGTTAAAGCACTATAAGGCTACTATAAAGTAAACTAATAAGACTTCTAGAATAATAAC